TCCTGTTGCTAAAATAGGACTTAAACCAGTCTACAGAACCTATACTGATAGCTTGAAGTTTCTTACATAATATATTGTGGTTGACAGTATCGAAGGCCTTTTGCAGGTCTAAAGTTATCATACCTATGAGGTTCCCCATTGACATTTCAGTTCTCAAGTAATCCATCAGATTAATTAGGGAGGTGTCAGTTGAGTAAGATCTTCCAAAGCCCAATTGATAGCTATGGAGAATGTTGTTATCATTAAGGTACTTAACTACTGGACAGTACACCGCCCTCTCTAGAATTTTGGATATTATACTGAGTATACTAACAGGCCTATAGTTGCTTACATCAGACCTACTATTTTTCTTGAAGATAGGAGTAACTCTGGCCCCCTTGAACCCTTTCGGTACGGTATTAGTGGTGATGAACAGATTTATTATGTGAGCAATAGGGATTGACAGTTCAGAAGCACCATCTTTTAGCAACTTAGACGGGATGTTATCCGGGCCAGTGCTCTTAGTTGGGTTTAACCTACTTAGTTCTTTTTTAATAAAATCATGAGATACACTTACTAGTTGACAACTGTTTGGGTTTACCCTTTTATTGGTATAGTATGTTTGAAAATTATCAGGGTCTGTGTTAAAGGTATTTGATGCAGCTGGTAGTTTACTTACTAGTGTTGATGCAACAGATGTGTAGTAGGAATTAAAACAATTGCCACCTGAGATGTTTCGTGGCATACCTCGTTATCGATAGTGATTACTATGTTAGACCTATCTACTGGTTTATGGCTATACCCCAACTGTTTTAGTTGTTGCCAGAGCTTTCTGGGGTTATGCTTATACTCTTCAATTTTTGAGCAATAGTGCTTTGCCTTTGCTTCTTTTATAAGTCTCTGCACTCTGTTCTTCACCCTTTGGAATTCATTTAGTGCTGCAATATCCTGTCTGTTTGCTTTAAATCTTTTTAGCAGCTGGTCTTTGAATTTCATATTATCTAATATCTCAGTAGTCATCCAGGGTTCAGATCCTCATTTAATCCTAACCTCTTTAACCCTTTGACTGTCGCAAGCCCCTTTCTGAAACTGTCATTCTATGTTGCAAAATTTTTGGAAAAAAAAAAAATTATTTTTTCTTATGAAATGATAGAGAATCTTTTCCTGATGATAATGACATCAAAAGTACGAAATTTGGTCAAAAACTCATGGAATTACGATCCCGCGAAGTTAGCGGTCTCGGCGACATATACGCATCGGCAATTTTGCCGACTTTGAGCCCTGTTTTTGGTCACTTCCATTGTTCCAGTTGACCAAACTCATAGCTATTTCTTTACAACTCCATTTTTTCTATCAATTGAGTACAAGAAACCGCCCATTTACCAATTTGAACTACCCAATAAAGTGGTCAGAAATTGGCAATTTGGCCAATTTCACGCAAATTAAAAAAGATGCCAATTTCAAAATAAGGTCCAGAATAAACAATGTAGACATTCTTGGCACTAAAACAACATAACCTCTGTTCATTAGTCATGTCTCTAGGCCCCTCTTATATTACTATTGCTTTCTATTTTGATATTTGATTCATAAAAAAAATACAAAATTTACTGTTATGCAGACTACTCCATTATTGTAAAAATGGTATAAATAATATCAGTGCACTAGTGAAAGAATATCAGACTCCCCAGTTGACGTGTATTGGACGTGTGGTGTGATATGCTTACTCTTGAACATTGGTAAAAATTTAACATTTCCGCTACTTTGAGCTCAATTTCAAGGTCGTTTTCATCGTGAAACTAATAAAAATCATCTCTATTTCTGCAATATGTTTCCCCATTTTATCACTTGAGACCATGAAAATGAGAATACAACGATAAATACTATACGAAAATACACCTCAAATTCAGCGTTTTAATCCAAAAAAACGATCAGTTTTTTTCTCATTATGCACTGTGTGCTGCAGGATTTTTTTTATGTGGTGCACACTGACCACACAGACCCATTCTCTCACATGTGGGCCTACCAGCTTTCTCCTGCTTGATTTGCCCACTAGAATTATTGAGTATATATATGTCCGAAACACTGGCTCGTAAGATGTATATATACGACCAAAACAGCCAAAGGGTTAACTGGTGCAGTATTATCAAAGATGATAATGAACATTGTTTTGAGTTCTTCTCAGGCATCGTTTACATCCGTGCAACTTGTTATCTCTGTCCAGTCACAATTGTGTAGCCTATTTACCAGTGTTTCTTTACTGTAGTTTCTAGTTGATCTCAATTTTATTGTCCTGTGTAGGCCTATCCTATCCCTAGTGATTTTCCTGGTGCAGTAAATGATGAAATGATCACTAAGGCCTATGGTAATGACACCTGACTGACTATTATTCCCAGAGCGGTTACAGAGTATGTGGTCAATTAGGGTGGCTGAGAACTGTGTGATCCAGGTTGGTGTATTAATTAAAATTAATAAAATTAATAAAATTCCATAGTTTACTGGTATTTTTGGGCCTGTGAAGTCTTGGATTGGATTAATTTTTTTGTAGATTATAGGCACCCCTCATTATGAAGGAACTCCACAATAGGCATATTGGCCCATGCTAGAGAGTTTGTTCCCCTCATCTGTAACTCTAGTGCCAAACCAGTGTTTTCCTGTATCCTCTCTAAATCTACATTTGTCCAACTTGAATCCATTGCTTCGAGCTTCATCTTAGTCAGATACTTCCAGTATGTTACAGTATATATATCCTTATTTATTCCTGGTCTCTTATATGTACACTTCAGTCATACAGTATCTCCTATAATTTTACATCTTTCCAGAAAGTGCCTTCAGACTATGTTTGTAGGAAATGTTTCTAAAACATAGGATCGAATTCATCATCCATCTTTGTATATTTTCCAGCAAATTTACATCCATTCTGTATTATGGAGACCAAAACTGAGGTAGCAGAAGCTATGAAGCTTATTCCATTCATGGAAGGTGCCTTGATGTTGGTGAAAGAATCTTGACCCACAGAATTCAAGCTGAACTCCTTTTCCTTCCATCATATTCCAGGTGATGTCTGACCTTTGCGAGTTTAGTGTTTTCCCATGATAATGGTAATCTAAAGCCTAACATTCTTTTGGAAGGTGACATTTAAGGTCATTCTAAATGATAAGTTCCTACAGAAAATGTTAATTGACACTAGTAGTAGTGTGTTGTCAGGGATCCACATTTATGATAGAGTTCTGAGAATTGTGTGAGTAGTGTCAGTGATCTGTGTGGCTGCTTGCACTGTAATTGATAAGTGTATGGATAATGTCTATCTTGTGGAAAGTATATTAGCATGGTAGATTTTTGTGTATAATTAACCACATTATGTGTTATGTAAATAGAACTACATTATTTAGTAAAGGAAGAAAATCTCATGGTAAGTGGATGGAAAAACATTCAGATATACTCCTTATTTATCACTTTCTTGTTTAATATACAGTAAGTTATTGTTTCTAATTTCAGGCAAATATGGCATCTGATAGTGATGTAGAGGTAAGTAATTTTTTTTTAACTTGAAGCACAGCACTGTATTCAGCATTATAAATGCTAAACATCCATTGATATAGTTTAGCATGGCATAATAATGACACATTGTGAGAGTTACTGTATTAATGTGTTTTGCCTGCTAGAGACATTATCAATTCATACAGACAAGTGAAAAATGAGGTTATATACAGCACCCAAAATAATCTAGACATCCCCTTTATTATTATGAAAATCAGTAAAAAGTAACAATATATACATTATAGACCAAAAAACTAATTATAAACCCATCAAACAAACTAAGGGGGGTCTTGGAGGGCTTTACCCATTCTCTAGAATATAAAAAAAGAAAAATGAATATTTCTACTCTTTTGAGCTCAATTTCAAGTTACTTGCAGTTTTGAAACCATTCAAAATAATCTCAATTTCAGTAATATGTCTTCCATTCTATCAAACGATTTGAAGAAACAGCCAATAAAACCATAAAAACCATCTGAGAAAATACCTCAGTCACTATTGTAAACCATACACAGAGTTTTGTTTTCCCATTATGCACCATGTGGGGCAGGTTTTTTTTTATACTATACACGTGTAAGTCACTGCACAGGCCCATTCTTTCATATGTATGCCAAAATTTACAGCTCGCAGCTTATCTGAGTGAGATGAGCTCGTATCATAGAACTACATGAGGGACCCTGGCCTCAATGACGTAGTTCTATGTGGCAGACGCTGAGAGACTTAATATACATTCAACTGTGTGTGCATTTGGCTTCAGTTAAGGGTATACTTTAGGACAATTTTTGTTAGAGATAAATGGCCAATTTAGTCATTACTGTATCCAATAAAAAAACTCCCATTATATAAAGCACTCTTAGCTTTAATCATTTTGGATGTGAGAGGTCCTACTGTATTTTATTCTTACTTAGTACATATTGTTTGTTTTGGCTGTTGTATGTAGTTTTTACTCTGGTAAAGATAAGTGTGCTGTACATGTAATTTCAGGTGCCATTGAATTTATTATGCAATACAGTGGTCTGCCTGTATCCGTGGGGATACTTTTCAAGACCTACCGTGGATACCTGAAACCACGGATAGTAGTGAACCCTATACATATTTAGGTCATTTTTTCTCTACATACATACCATGATAAAGTTTAATTGATAAATTATGCACAGTAAGTGGAGAATTATCACTTTTTCACTGATGGGAAGCACTTCACGGCTTCTCTTAGGCTTTGAAGAACAGCCATCATCACTGCTATTGTGCTTTGTGGTCATTATTAAGCAGAATTAAGGCTTGTATTAATGTTGTTAGAATTACTGACAATATGTGGTTAAGGCTTATTTTTTGGGCCACAGCAAACCCTGGATAACTGAAACTGCAGTAACCGAATCCATGGATAAGAGGGTTCTACTGTACAAACTAAGGATAATTCTTAAAACATTAATACATACTGTATTGTGAAAACTTTAATATTAATGTTTTTACCTTTACTTCTGGAACAGGCCTACTTGAATCAACTTAGCAAGAAGACTTACAGTTTGAAACATGATACTAGAACTTTGGGCTACTCCTCACCTCGCCCTACAAGTACAGTGGACAGGGCTTTTGATGATGAGTTGACTTCATCTAACGAAAGTGATTCTTCAGTAAGAAAAGACAAGTTGTGTAGTCCGATACACAGAAAAGGAATAGACTCTGACTCAAACATAGCTACACCTAATAAACAACAAAAAGATCATGGGCATAAACAGACCTATGACAAAATAAGTAACCTAGAAAAAAAATATATAAAAAACTTTAGACCCAGTAATGATGTTACGGATGTGCATAATTATAACAATTCATTACTCCGACACAAGGCAATGATCAGCTCTGATAAACAGGCTCATTTTAATGAGCTTTCAAAATTGACTGTCAGACAAGTGAACATTGATTCCATGCAAGTGCCTGACAGGAGAAAGCCTCAACTAGTTAGCATTACTTCGTCGGTTGATGAAGAGCTAGCACAGTATTTGAATGAAACTTCTTTAACAGATGAACTTGATGGGAAGTTTCAGGATGCTGCTGCTGTTACAAAGAACCATTCCTTCACTGAAGAATGTAATACCATTAATGAATTAATTAATTTTGATAATATATTGACTGTAGATGATGTTTTGGGTCAAATGACTGACAGTGAAGATAAAGCTTATCATAATCATGTTAGTGTCAGATGTGAAAATAAAATTGCAGGCAACTCCAAAAATTTAGTGAATGATGAGTCTGAAGCTGCTAAAGAGTATAATATCATTGCAAGTGATAAAACTGCCCAGTTTATTGAAACTAAGAATACAAATACTTTGCAAGCTAAATTATCAGAAACTATTAAAGATGATCTTACTCAGAATTCTAAGCAGGCAGAAAGTCATGCTGGCAATGAACGAGAGAGAAACATATTGTTAAATTTCAGGGAGTCTTTCTTTTATTCAGGCACCCAGCAAGATGAGGCAGATAGTCAGAGTCAACCAGTGGGAGTACTTTTAGCTCAAACTAAAAGTGATATCTTCCATTCTTCACGAAGAAATTCTAAAATAGAATTTAAGAGAGAGGATATAATAAAATCCAAAATATTAAAATGTCATATTAAAAATAAAAATAAAGTAATGCAGAATGTTTCTTCTGAGGAGAGTGTTGTAGAGAGTATGGCAACTTCCATTAAGAGCAATAGTGTTGAATCAGTAGTGGAAAGTGATCATAGAACCATTTCTAGGATGGACCAGCATGTTGAGAACGCAGTCACAAGTGACTGTGAAAGTCGTACAGGAGTTAATTGGACTGGGGAAAAAATACAAAGCAACAAATCAAGGAGCAGTTCAGAAACTGAACAAAGTTTACCTATAAAGGCAGTTACAAAAAAGTGTTTGCAAAATCATAATTTGGAAACAAAATATATTAAAAGGCAATCTTCATTACTACATAATTGGCAAGACTCTTCACATCAGAGCAGTATTTGTGACTCCAGGGATATTTCAGATAATGAGGGAAGTATAAAATATAAACAGCCTAGGAGTAAAACATCCAAACATGCAAAAAAGTACAAGCAACATCATTCAAAAAGAAAAAAGGCCAGAACCCCTGCATCCAGTTCATCGAGCGATAGTGAGAATTCTGATTCTGAATTAAATCAACGCCGCAGACACCATTCACGGCATAATAAACACAAATCGAAACCTGCTGACAATCCCTGGGTATGTACATGGAGTATTGTGTAGCAAAATCATATGGCTTAAATAATTTCCAGAACTTATAAATAATTAACATTACTATACTGCATAGTGTATATTTTATAGTTACAAGATGGCATCTGATGATTAGGGATATACTTTTACAGTTTGGACTGCCATATATGCAACTATGGCCTAACCACCACCAACAGTATGCAGCATCAACAGGAATTTTTGCTCATTATCCTAGTCCTCTTGTAGCAGAAGGTTAGTAAAACATGCAGAAGTGTGTATTGTTAAACTTTTTAACTGTGTCCAATGTACTAGTACACAGGTGATGACTACGTGACCAACAAACTAGTACAGTGGACCCCCGAGTTTCGTTGGCATTGACTTTCGGCAAAATTTAGCCTCTCGGTTTGTGATTGGACTCGTGATTCATCGACTGTCCGGTACCCATCCGCCCATCACCGCGCACACAAAGCCAGTCTCCCGCACCATTCACACTCAGTGTGCCATTGTTTACCAGCACGTGACCATCACCCCGTGGGTTCATACAAAACATTTCATAATAATTCATTGTTTTTTGTGCTTGCAACTGCTAAATAAGTCATCATGGGCCCAAGGAAAGCTAGTGCAAGCCCTTTGGTAAAGAAAGCAAGAAACACGATCGAATTCAAGAAGGAAATCATTGAAAAATATGAGTGCGGAGTGCGTGTTACAGAACTTGCCAGGATGTATGGCAAACCCCATTCAACCATCACTTCGATTGTGGCAAAGGGAAAGGAAATAAAGTGTGCTGTTGTTGCAAAAGGGGTATATATGCTGACAAAAAAGAGATCTCAAATCCTCGAAGAAGTGGAAAGGTTATTGTTGGTGTGGATTATCCAAAAACAGTTAGCAGGAGATAGTATTATGCAGTCGATAATATGTGAAAAGGCAAGGCAGTTGCATGACAATCTTGTAAAGAAAATGCCTGCAACGAGTGGTGACGCTTGTGATTTTAAGGCCAGCAAAGGTTGGTTTGAGAGATTTAAAAAGCGTAGTGGCATTCACAGTGTGATAAGGCGTGGTGAGGCTGCCAGTTCTGAAAAAAAGCAGCTGAGAAGTTTGTACAGGAGTTTAAGGAGTGTGGAGACACTAGAGAATTCAAACTCCAACAAGTGTTTAATTGTGACGAAACAGGCCTCTTTTAGAAGAAAATGCCAAAGAGGTCCTACAACACGCAGGAGGAAACGGCACTCCCAGGACACAAGCCTATGAAGGATAGGCTTACTCTCATGTTTTGTAGTAATGCTAGTGGGGATTGCAAAGTGAAGCCTTTACTGGTGTATCACTCTGAAAATCCCAGTGTGTTCAAGAAAAACAGTGTTGCCAAGAGTAATTTGTGTGTAATGTGGAAGGCTAACAATAAAGCATGGGCCACAAGGGGAATTTTCCTAGACTGGTTTAATGAAGTGTTTGGCCCCAGTGTGAAGAAATACCTCCTGGAAAATAAATTGCCACTCAAGTGCCTCCTGGTAATGGACAATGCTCCTGCTCATCCTCCAGACTTGGAAGAGCAAATAGTGAAGGAGTTTAGTTTCATCACGGTGAAATTCTTGCCCCCTAATACAACTCCTCTCATCCAGCCCATGGACCAGCAGGTCATTTCAAACTTCAAAAAACTGTACACCAAAGCAGTGTTTCAAAAGTGCTTTGAAGTGACCTCAGACACTGAATTGACCCTAAGAAAATTCTGGAAAGATCATTTCAATATCCTCAGTTGCATAAACCTTATAGGTAAGGCTTGGGAAGGAGTGACTTGCAGAACATTGAATTCTGCTTGGAGAAAATTGTATCCAGAATGTGTACAAGAGAGGGATTTTGAAGGGTTTGGGGCTGACCCTAAGGAGCCTATGCCAGTTGTGGAATCTATTGTGGCATTGGTAAAGTCCCTGGGGTTGGAGGTGAGTGGCGAGGATGTGGAAGAGTTGGTGGAGGACCACAGGGAAGAGCTAACCACTGAAGAGCTGCAAGAGCTTCATCTGCAACAGCAAGAGATCACAGCTTAGGAAATTGCTGCAGTGGAGGAAGAAGAGAGATGGAGGAAGGTGCCTTCTTCAAAGATTAAGGACATTTGTGCAAAGTGGACTGAAGTGCAAACATTTATGGATGAACTTCACCCTAACAAAGCTGTTGCAGGCCATATTGGCAACATGTACAATGACAGTGTTGTCTCCCACTTCAGAGAAAACTTAAAGAAATGCAAGAAACAAAGCTCTCTGGACAGATATTTTGTGTGACTCATGTTGTTCCCAGTGTCTTTAAAAAACAAAGAAGGGAAGTAACACCAGATAAGGACTTGGTGCCTGAAGTCCTAATGGAAGGAGATTCTCCTTCCAAACAATAGTGTACACCTTCCTCCTATCCCCTCCTCCCATCTTCCATCCACTCAGAAGTCTTCAGTAAAGGTAAGTGTAATGTTATTATTATTTTATATATGTATGTACAGTGGACCCCCGCTTAACGATCACCTCCAAATGCGACCAATTATGTAAGTGTATTTATGTAAGTGCGTTTGTACGTGTATGTTTGGGGGTCTGAAATGGACTAATCTACTTCACAATATTCCTTATGGGAAAAAATTCGGTCAGTACTGGCACCTGAACATACTACTGGAATGAAAAAAGTTCGTTAACCGGGGGTCCACTGTACTTAATTTCTCATTGTTTTCAGTATGTAAATTTTTATTTAATTTGAAAAAATATTTTAATATTTTTGGGTGTCTGGAACGGATTAATTTTATTTCCATTATTTCTTATGGGAAAAATGGTTTCCCCATTCGGCAATTTCGACATTCGGCAGACTCTCTGGAACGGATTAATCACGAAACTGGGGGTTCCACTGTACACACAATTTTTTGTGGCTTCAAAAATGCCACCTGTCTATATTTTTGGCATCAGCACAACTATTTGGGTCTACAGTCTCTTCATGCTTTTGAAAAAAAATTTAAGGCCAGAGGGGTCCATACACTGCATCTTGGTTAACACTGCCTAACATAGGTAAACCATAAAACCAGGACCTGTTCTACCACCAGCTTCCCTGCCTGCAATCAGGGTGTGAAGCTGCCTGGAAGATGCCTAATTTATTACAGATTTACTGTTTCATGATACTAACAGCAGAATTCATCCAAAAAGCACTATGTAGATTTAACCTAGGATAACCTAATAAAGTCAGTGTGACCTATTTCCATGCTTCAATAGGAATAAGATTAAGAAATTTATTTCAGCATGATACATGTTTGTACAAAGGAGTATAATAATTGAGTTTACATGCCAAAAGCCCCTTTTCATACAGAGCATTTTAGGCAAACTTAAAGACTAACTTAAGATTAATAAGGCAATAAGAGTGCAGTAATTTTGTACATATGATCATTACATAAGTTTATAATGAATACAGTAGGGCCCCGCATTATGGCGTTTCGCCTCACAGTGTTCCGCTAATACGGCTATTTAAAATTATGACCAAAACTTGCTATACGGCAAGCGGTCTTTCAAATACAGCATGCCCCACCCGGTTTGTTTACATTCTCCGTGAGCACATCTCTTTTATGTCTGGAAACTTTCCAAAATTTCAAGTGTTAAAGTTATTGCATATTTTATATGTACTCTGATAATTATACTTATGTGTACTTGTCCCTAAATATATGTACTTACACACTGTACTGGCATGCAGGTACACATTAAAATCACTAAGAGTCTCTCTACGCTTCATGTAATACATAATCTCTTGGGCTCATTAAATGTTGTATATTACGTTAATATAAACATTTCCATTAATCCATCTATGATATTTTTTTTCAAAATTATATAATAAACACGCTATGTAACATATAAACATGATAAATACACCCCACAGTAGAATAAATTAACATAAATATAAAATATGGTAGCCAGGCGACTTGTAGTCCAACATCAGAGAAACTGTGTCATTATAATATTACTGGGGGTAATTAGAAAATTATTCGTTTAATGTCTTCACTCAGAGCGTTATTTCTTCTAAAAATGGTGTTACAGGAGAATGGGAGTGTTTCTTTTTATTTACTCTACTGTATCAACGTGGAGACAACTTGTACACAATGTAAAATGACGAAAATCAGACGTGTTCGCCTGGTTTGTTTACATTACGTGTGGGTGGGGTAGGGTGGGGAGGGCTGCCCTGGCTGGCTATCAAACTTCCCAAACCTGACTTCCTACAAATAAAACTCACCAAACTTTCCAAACCTGACTTCCTACAAATAAAACTCACCTCTCACCCTACATTAAGAATTAATGAATGTACTGTATATGTATTTTATTGCTCTGGGGCACTTTAATTAAATGTCGTAGTATATTACATGTGGGTGGTGTGGGCTGACCTGGCTAGCTATCATGCCTCCCAAACTTCTACAAATAAAACTCACCTCTCACCCTACATTAGGACTACAAATATTTTAAGGAAAGTAATGGGTGTCCTGTGTGTGTATTTTACTTTTTATTGTTTTTAATGCCTAGTTCTATTGCTAACTTAATATATGTTAGTGTAAACTTGTTATCTGGCATTTATAAGTGGAGAAAATGGCGTTCTGCTTTCCAGTGATGTCTGCTTTCCGGCAGTAGCCTGGAACCTAACCTGCTGTATAAGTGGGGCCCTACTGTACAAAAGGATCGGATATTCTATTAGTTCATGCTATATGGCTTTAATAAGTTTGGTAGAGAGGAATTGAAGTTTTGATTATTAACCTAAGGCAGAGACAGTGGAATGACTAACATTTGAGAGGATTACAGATATTGATAGTAAGTATATATTGATTATAATGTTTTACCTATGTTCATGATATTGAGCAAATGCATGTATAGTTTTTACATATGTATTTGTGATGGGCTGGGATAGGTTTAGGAGATAGGGTGTTTTTTAGTGACTGGTACACCTTGAAACAGTTGTAATATCATAAGATTTCCTTGTAAATATGTTTTATAGTGGTCTTGAAATCACTCAGGTGTTATGGACACAAATTACATTATGTGTATATAACCTAGGATATTCCTTGAACCTAAATTTATGCAGTACCCTAGTAATTAACCCAGGATAACTCTGTATAGTCAAACATTGTGACTTATTTTAATGTTGTAAGGAGTATTACACCTTGAAACAATTGCTATATCATAAATATTCCTTGTATATAGTATTAAAAAACCTAAGCAGTATAAAATAGAATAAACAGTTATTTAAATGCACCATTTTAT